CTTGGGGTCCCTCAGCCTCACCCAGCGCTCCTTCCATCTAACTGGCTCCAAGTGGTCAACAGACAGGACAGCAGGTTTCAGTCCTTCCAGGTTTTACTCTCTGGAAGTAACAATAAAGTAATGCTAACTATTCCATGCCTTTAATCAGTTTTTCTTCAATTAAGAGGTCACGGCAAAATACACAACTGCGTAGTTCATTCTGCTTCTAATACTTTTACTTAAGATTCAATTCTAAGTCTTCAAGGTACATTTGCTAACAGGAGAGAAAAATACTTTACTAAAAAGATGAGTTTTCAGGAAGCTGAGAGGGTGGGGATAGGGGAGGTGATTGTTTAAGGAGTAGGGGGATTATTTTGGGGTGATGACAACGTTCTGAAATTAGATTGTGTTGAGGGGTGTGTTGTGTTTGAGGAAGTACACCTGAAATTTGTTTAAAACAGTGTTTTATGTTAGTTTTCTCTCAATTAAAAAAAAAAGCTTTCAGAAAAGTTTATTTCCCCCAGATTCAAAGTAAAAGATTAATATTTTGCTCTGTTTCCAAATGGAACCTAGATCTAAGGATTTTAACAGCACAAAGTCACAGGTAACAGTGTCTGAGTAGTCTTAGCCTAGATCTCCTACCTGACTGAAGCCAAAGGAGAGGGAGAGGAAGCCACGAAACATGGGTAAGGGACAGGGTCCAAGACACACCACCAAGAGGAAAAGAACTTATGTGGACAAAGCTGAGGGCGACATGGCTAACACACATGAAACAAAGCTGCTAGGTTTTACAACTCAAGTTGGTTTTACAGCAAGCATTTTACTCCTAGGGCTGAAGGGGGGGAAAAAAACACACACACACAACCATTTCCACTGGAACCAATCTCCTCAGTGATACAAGTGCAGTAACACCACAGGAAAAGCGGAAATTTTTCTTCCCCAGAAATGTCACTTATGCATCACATGAAATTACTATTGCTGTGGGAATTGTAACTTGAGTTTCCTGGACTTCAAATTAGAAAGAAAGAAAGAAAAAACTCAAACGTGAAAATCTACCAGCAGAGTCTGCCCCCATTGAACAAAAGTCTGTTTCTTTTTCTGAGACGCATTTCATGAAATCTAGCTCCCTCACTCCGACCCAATCCTATTAAAAGCTTTCCTTGAGTTTAATGCTTTTTGGTTATTAAGGACAAATGGCTTTGTCCTTATCTGCAGAACACAGTGCGAATAAAAATCTGCTCTTTGACAAACACATTAATTGAATCAGATCCCTTTAATCAGAAACTGTTAACCGACTGAAATTTTCCTGAAGGACTCCAGTTCCCAAAAACTAGAAAACTCTGTCCTGAGGCCCTGATAGTAAAGCCAGGCTTGAAACAAATCCTTTTCCCCACACAGTCCTCCCAAGTGTGACCTCAGTGAAGCAGGGTGCTGGTATGCAGGTGATGAGAGCTCTGTCATGTGAGCAGGGACCAGGGTTACTGACACAGACCCAGGAGACAAGAAACCAAACACAGGGATGGAGAGCTGACTTGGACAGGCAAACAAAATCCAGAGGCAAAAGTCCCTAATCCCAGGTGTCTGAACTGAAAACCACAAAGCTGCTATCTGTCCTAAAAGACATAAGGCAGCAAGAGCAGTTATGGGATAGCAGGGTCGGGTGTTTCTTTTGTGACATTATTGCCTCAACTCTCAGTTTCCTGGTCATGGAAAGGATATAAAAGCTGCAAGTGTACCTTTGTTAGTTTTTCAACCCCTTCATCCACCTGTCCCTGTTCATAGTATCATCAGAGATACAGCTGGATATTTGCCTGGTCCCCCTCTTTCCCCTGGCCCACCTGCCTACAGCCGTGTCCCCAGAAAGTCGTCCCAGCTCTTCAGCCATGTGGTCCTTTGGCAAGTTCTGATTATTTACCTCCTCCTCCTCCTGCCCAGGAAGGGGAGAATCTAGAGACTATAAGGGCTACCAAGGTGAATGCTAAAAATTAAGCTAACTGACCTATCACATCCAAAGAGAATACATCAGGAACCTCCTACGTGTGATGATGTGTCTTTCCCAGGTCACTCTGGGCTCCTACTGCAGGGGCACAGAGGTTCCTACTAAATGTTTGTGGAATACGTGACACCTTTTACTGCTATTCTTCTGAAAAACCACAAACATACCAGCACAACTTGCCCTTCAAAGCCTGAATGGTGGGCTCCCCTGGTGGTTCAGTGATAAAGAATGCACCTGCCAATGCAGGAGACAGGTTTGATTCCTGATCTGGGAAGATCCCACATACCGTGGAACAACTAAGCAAGCCCATGTGCCAGTGCTCCAGAGCCCGGGAGCTGCAATCACTGAAGCACGTGCACCCTAGAGCCCGTGCTCCGCAACAAGAGAAGCCATGACAGTGAGAAGCCCATGCATTGCAACTAGAGAGATGTCCTCGATTGCTGCAACTGAAGAAAAGACTCAGCAGTGACCAAGACCCAGCACAGCCGTAAATAAACAAATAAAATAAATCTTAAAAAAAACAAAAACAAAACAAAAACCAGGCTGAACTGATGGAATTCTCAATCGTGCTGGATGGAGATGCAAGATGTTTGCCCTTAGAGGTCAGGCTGAGAAAGGCATGTTCACCTGCTGTCCGCTCTCCCCTGCTCTTTGCACAACTCACTTAGGAAATACAGGAAGGCGTGAAGGAAGACAGCACATTTGTCGATAATCCTGCTACTGTGATGTCATGCTGTTAGTCTGACTCCCAGGCAGTAAATCCACGAGTCTAAGATCGGCGAACACAGGCCCTTTAGACAGAAGGAAGGTGAAGACCCTTCAGCATCTGTCATTTCAGAGAATTCACTGACCAAGCTACATGGAGCCCAGCTTCAGGCCAAAGGGAGTATCTGCCAATACAAACCTGCATTTTCCAAACTGAATCAGAATTGGGAGGGAGCCCTGTTTTCTTTTTCCTTCCTACTTTACATATTTTAACACTGTCTAATGGAATAGCAGGAACAAGGCCAACCGGCCCCCCTGCTTCAGACACCTGGGCCAAGGAACAGAGATGTATTTTTAGTCAGCAGAGCAAGGAGTGATTCACAGCGCCACAGGCCCCAGGGCAAACGGGGGGCCCTGCCCGTCCTGGCACAGGGCGGGTCACAGTCACCTGCCATGCTCCTGCCCCCATGTGGGGGGAGAGAGAGGAGCCGTGCACGGGCGTGTGCTCGGTCTCTGCTCACCTCTCTCTTGCGCAACTCACAGGAGCTTAGGCAACCTCGGGCTCCTGTCTGGTAACATAAAGATGGTCTCTGTGGCCTGGGCTTCCCAGCCAAGCGAAGAACAAGGGGTGGGGAAGCCGTGCTTCTCAACCTTGAATGAGTGGGCCAATGGCCAGAGGCCGCGGTGAAAACGGCTTCTGACCAGCAGGACTGGGATGAGGCCTGGGAGTCTGCATTTCTAATGAGCTCAGTACTGACAGCACACTGCTGGGCCAGGAATGGTCCTTTAAATAGCAAGGCATTAGAAGCATCTTCCGGTGCGTTGCTCTATAAACATACCAGGGACTGACATGCCCTTAACTGGCCTCAGGTATGGATAACTCATTTAACTAGCAATAAGACACCTTCCAGATGCTAGAACATCATGGACCAAACAGGTGCAACAAGAAAATTAGATCCCTGACTGATCATCTTGGTATAAAGAACCATATGCATCATTCCAGCACTTCACAGGTACAAGAAGTGACTCGCAGACCCTGTGGCCCTAAAGGTGAGATCATGCCAAGGCCCAAGGGGCCAGGTGACAACTAGCCACCAGCCGCTTCCACCTGTCAAACAACTATTCTGGCTTGTGCAAGACATTAGGCGTTTCCTGTACCTCATGCTCCCCTCCAACTTTGGACTCACTGCCCCTACATGTACAACACAAGGGGAACAGGAACACATCCCGTAGATGAGGAAAATGAGGTTCAGAGAGATGAAGCTGTCTGTTCTAAGCCCCTGCTCCCCAACCCCACAACACCTGGAAAAGGGTTAAAACCAAGACTGTGTGTCCCAAGGCTGGGCCATCTTCTGAACACAGGCCCTGCAGCCAGGAAAACCCAGAGACCTGTAAGCCGCGCTAGTTATCGGACAGATGAAGCCTTCTCCCCAGTTCACTCTGCTCGGGTCAGTGTCAGAAATGATACCTCCAGGTGAGTGGACGAGTTACAACACCAGTAAAATCACAATCAAATAAAAATGGGCAGGGCTGGAGTGGAAACAGGAAATTTGGCGTGAAGAGGGAGGTGCTCTGCTGGGGAAGCTGCCAATAAAGGCTGGTCTAGAAAATAGCTGGACTTGTGACTGGTATATCTGGAAAGACCTCTGGGTGGGTTTCAAATAAGCGAGCACCTCCGTCTGACTGCGGGAGAAGTGGGGTAACTCACAGTACTTAACTACGCCACAGGGTACTTTTGGCCCCAACAATGACACACCCAGGGCATCTCCCTTTCTTCCTCACTGAGGTCCCTTTATTCCCTTTCTCATTTCCAGTATGTTGTCTATAACAGTCGACAGGTTTTATGCTGTGTAACACTTGACCATGACAAAGAAATCCTTACTTTCATGCTAATGTCAGAAGCCTGATGAGTTTTTGTTTTTTTTTTTAAGCCCTGAAAGTGAGCTGAGTCACATTATCAAAATCACTGCCACAAACATGAGCCTGCTGTCTCATCACTCATCACTCACACAGTGTTCTTTAAGTTCAGTTTAGGCACTCAAACTGCCAGCTTATCCATTAGGAACAAGACATTTAGTACCCCTGGGTATTAAAAAGATAATTTCCTGCCAAGCTAGAGATGAGGCAAAACTTCCAGTTTTTAATTATACACACCCCGAAACAGCAAGCAACGTATTTGTCATGATCACCAGAGGTACATAGAGTAAGACCATTTTTTCCAGTGAGCCCAGGAATACAAGTTTCCCTGATACTCAATGTCAGCAACATGACACCATGGCCTCCCCAGACAGCCCCAGGTCTCCCAAACGGTACCACTTACAGAAAGAGAGAGACGATATGAGACGAGGCAGTGCCCAGGGATGGTATGGCTGTCAACTCATTGTTATTGAGGTACCTATAATGACAAGAAGAAGAAATGAATCAGTTAAATCATTAAAATTAGTCGTATGAAATCACAGATATACAAGGACATTTTTTAAACAATAGCCATGGGCAAACTGCTATGCTGTAATGCTGAATACGAGAATCTAAAAGCAAGTTTTTAATAGGAGAGAAGTTATACCAGGTCATAAACACTACATACCACACTCACAGTTTAGGAATAAACACACCCAGGACACGTCCTCTGTCCTCTAGGAGCTTCCACTTTAGCTCAGAAATCAAGACTAACAGACAAGGGACCATGAACACAGGCGGAGATGCACGAATGAAACAGCAGCTCCCCAAGACCATCCCTGACAGTGCTCCTTGTGGGCTGAAGGACCAGGGCCCACTCCAGCTGGGATCACCGCCTCCCCCATTGTTTTGTATGCATCCACCATGTGGCTCTGCCCGCACCGAAGGGCCACAGGCGTGCACCCAGCGCCACAGATTCATGCCCTCCTGTGGGGGGGTTCCCGGTGCTGGAGACACATGAACTAATGACTGGTTCTTAGAGGTTCTTATCTACTTGCATGAACTGTGATGAAGCCTCCAGATGTGTCTTCCAGGAATATATCCATATACACACATACTTTGGCACGCAGGCAATCTGAAAATCCTCTGCAGACCAGAGACCCTCCCCAAGCTCCCGTCCTGCTTGAATATTCTATGTCTGTACTTCCACAATTCTCAACTCTTAATGGAAGGGGAAGCCCAAAAACCAGAACACAGCTCGCCTGGGCCATCCCCAGAGGCTCTGAAATCCAACTTCCTTACATGGATAAGTATTTCCAAATTGGGGAAGAGACTCCAAAATCAGATTTGCAAAGTGAGCCCCGAAATCCTTAGGATAGCCAAAGCACAGTGATCAGGCTTTTTGACGGGGACAGGCTGGAAAGAAATGGTATCTGAGATGCAGAATCAAGGATAATGCTGGTTTACCTTATTCTTGTTTTTTTACACAGTATGTCTTACACAGAGCATCCAGTTAGGGTTTGAAGACAAGGCCACTGAAATGACAGCTGTATTCATACAAGTTTACAGTGAGAATTTGCTTCAATAGAATAATCTGGTTGTCTGCCATCTTTTATAGAATGAATGGGGAGGGGGAGGAAAAGGCCTTGAATTATCCCATTCGCTTTCTTCAGTGCCAAAGCTGGTTAGAGATGAAGCCTGGCAATTACTGGACTGAGGGACACAGAATGTCTATTTCAACAGCTTCATGACTGAAGCATCTGGCGGAGAGAAAGCAGATCTGTATCACGTGGCAAAGCCTTTCTCCACTTAAAGGGCCCTTGTTTGTGTGCTGAAGTAGACGATTAATTACTTTAACAGTCTCTTATCTGACTGCCCCTAAAGCAGACTACTTCTGCTTCACCTTTTATCTCTCCACCCCTGCTGTGATCCATTTCCCATCTTGGTACAAGGATGCTGAAAACTCACCATCTGTCGGAATCTATTAATAAATTTTCACAGGGCCATAAATGTACGTATTCCTCGATGAGATCCTCAGATCTTACCAGGGCAAGGAAAGCTAAGGTCAAGGGCCTGTTGCCAAGAAGGCAGCTTGCTTACAAACTCTTCATTTCTTAGAGATTTATTCTAAAACACAGATGCTGAGGGTGGGGGGAGGGTTGTCATAATAATTATAGCAGCAGCTAACTTACTGAGGGCTTATTATGTGCCAGGCCTGACTCTTGAAGGCTTTTCAATATATTAATCTGTCCTTAGAGCCCTACTAGGCAGGCTCCATTAACATTTCCATTGTACCAATGAGGAAACTGAATCACTAAGATGTTAAGTAATTTAACTGAGGTCACCAGCAGTAAAAGGCAGTGGCCCTGGGGGTCAAGCCCCAAAGTCTAGGTTCTTACCCATTACTTCCATTGATTTATAGCTGCAGCAGCAACTCTACGGCATCATGTGACTGCGCTGTCAGACTCTGGGTTCGAACCAGGTGCTAGTACTGTTCTCTACCTTACAGGTGAGGTCTCTAAGTTTAAGTCACCATCCTAAGGTGACAGGGGGAGAGAGAGAGGCCTGGACAAGAGGTGAACGAAGTGTAACTGTAAGCCACGGGAGAGCCACAGCTGAAAAGGCCAGCAGGAGGAAAGCTCATAACCTCATGTAACACGGTAGCTGTCTTTCAGTTGTCAGTAAGGACTTGTCTGCAGGAGAACTTTCGCTGAATGAGTCTGGTCTCGGGCCACCCTGCTGCACACACAACAAACTTCTCCACCCAACTCCTAGGAATGACAACTGAACAAGGAAAGGGGGCATCATTATCATATCTCAAATCGTGACCAAAATGCTGGAAGCAGAGCGTGCCGTTGTGGCCAATGGTGCTGAAGGTACACAGGGCATTTCAGGTCTGGATCAGCAGCCTGGAGTCAACAAGATGAGGCAGAAATCGCAGGCTCTGTTCTCAGCAGGGCTTCTGGATTTATGAAAAGGTCAGAGGGAGCATAGAGGAGAAGATCTGCAAGGCTAGCTTACTTCTTGATCATTTCTGCTTCAAAAGAACTGCAAGTAAACCTCCATCAACTCCTCCACCACTGGCTCTCTGCTCGCTCTGTCCCTCGTTGAAACCAGAACACTACCCTCGGAAGGCAACAAAGGCCCAACTCCCGCTGAGACATGACCAACTTGCCAGCCTGAAATAGAGACCGGTCAAAAATAGCACCAACTCCAGAGCCAGCCGAAGAAGGGCCTCCAGACGTTCGGCACAGTCTCTATGTGCAGGGATGTTGTCAGGATTTAGGATGTTTGATGAACTCTTCTGAATACCTAGGGCTGTGCAGTCTTTCCCCCCTTCTCACTCCCTCCAAATATGTTTCCATCCAAAGGCCCTAAAAATTCTTCCTAAATATCTGGCTTCTACAACTGAAACTTTTCCTGATGATTTAGGACCAAGAAACGCTCTGGAAGCATCAGACCGTGAACAATGGCCCAGCCCTGCAGCTGGAAAAGGTGTGAAAAAGGCAGGGGTGGGATGGGGGGAGAGCTTTGCATAGACCGCCTCCCCATCCCCCCACTCCCCATTCCACTCCTGGGGCAGAACCTGGAAGTTGGCCTTTCCCATCCTTCCAGGCCCCCTCAGCTCTCTCTCTGAAACTTCCATTTTCTGGACCTGGTGAAAGGAAGTTTTCACATTGTGCAAGATGCAGAATGTTAAAAAGGATGTTTCAGAGAACTTTTATTACTGACTGCCTCAACCAAATCAGCCATCAAGAAACAATGAAAAACAAACCCACAGGATCACTTTGAATTATAGCCCTTTCTTTTTTTTTAAAAACTGTTTGGCCCTATTTACTTACTGAATAGCTGATATAAGTACACGGTGAAATTCCAAATTATTTCAAAAAAAGAACAATAGGACTATATGTTGAAAGCCACCCCCCGCCTCCTCGGCCTCTGGTTTGCCTCCAAGAGGAAGCTCCAGCTGCAGGCTACTGCAGATGGACACGCGGTCTTCTTCCACACAGATGCCTGTGTCTCACACAGACTATTCTGCGCCAGTTTCCCCTTAGTAATAGATCCTGGAGATCTCCCTAAATCTTTTAACCAGAGGTGAAGTGCTCCTCTGCTGCAATGAATGGTGTGAATGAACCACGACTGATGTAGCCGATTCACTAATTTCCTAGACACTTTGGTTGTTTCCAAACACAAAGTGGGCTGCCATTAGTAACAGTCAAGTTGGGCCGGGGGGTGCCGTATCAGTTTGTTTTGTTTCTGAGGTGGGAGAAGGTCATCAGTAGCAGGTAGGAGCCACTTTGGAGTTAGGGCCACTTCATCAATAGCTGTTATCAGTGCTTTCAGCTACTTGAGAATAAGCCAGACTACGTTACCGACTTTGGCCAGACTTATAGTTTGCATACCAGCGGGACAGGTACAGGTATTTCAGGACTGTGACACAGAATACAGTTCCTCTAAATCAACACTTAGAAACAAGAATAAAGGCAAACACTTCTCCGTGTGCCAGGCTCCGTGCGGAGGGTTTTCCACGCCATGTGTCACTGAGTAACACGTCGACCCTTGAAGGAAGGCACTATGTCATCACCTCACGCTGAAAGGAGGAACGGAGACCCGGTTACTGCACAGCAGAGCAGGGAGTACCAGGAGGAGACGATACAACTCACGTGTTTAAGTCAGACAGACCCGGGTCCATTTAAGCCTGAGCTCACCCCCTACCAATCAAACGGCCTTCAGGGTGTCACTGAGCCTCACTGCGCATTAGCTTTCTTCTCCCCCAAATGCACAAAGTACAAGCCCCAACTTCATATGGTTTTGGCAGGATCTGGCTGAAATCACTAAATCTAACAGCCTAGGAGAGAGCCAGATATATAGTAAATGCTTAACAGGTGGTGATGATTCACAGCCAAAAAGCAGTGCCTCAAATGACACCCCCTTATGATTTCAACCCTCCCCTGAAACACACTGCACACGCGCACACAGGGGCAGCAGAAGCCTGGGCCACCGCAGGGTGAGCCATAAATACCCAGAGGCAGGCACGCTCAGCCTTTCTCGGTGCCTTCAGAACCTTTTAGGTCAACGACCCTGGAAAGCACACGGCAGCACCCACGTTAGGCATTCCTGGGCCAGGCAGCAGTAATGCGATCTGAGCGCAGCTCTGAAGGAGGACGGTATAAATAGCCCCTCTTATTAACAGAGGGGCCTCGCAGTCCAGGACTCCAGGGTGGAGGCTCTCCCTGGCGGGCTTTCCTCAGTGCTGCGGGCAGTGACGACCACGTGGTCTGGCGGCAGCTGCGCCAACATCCTTAGGTCCTCCGGGGGCCCCCAACCGGTTTGCTTTCTCTCTCCAACTGGCCCGCGATGCTCTGCGGTTGCCGGCCTCCAAAATAAAACCACTGCTAAACCACCGACCACGGCTTTGCCAGCCTGTGGTTCCCCTCTTGCCGAGGCTTCCAGACTCAAGTGGTGGCTGGTGGCTGTGCAGGTTTCAGGAGAACTGACAGCCCTTGGAAGACCCAGTTAATTTAGAAGCAACTGTGTGCCCACTGTGATTTTTTTTTCTTTTCTTTTCTTTAATATCCTTCTCCATCTCTCCACCCATTGCTCCTCACTGCCTGCCTCTTTCTGCCTGCACGATGTATTAGGATTCCCTTCAGGAAAGGACTGAATCTTTATCAATGACAAGTTCCACTGATCTGGGCCCTGGGGAATTTGTGTTATCCATCCCACAGTTGACACTGGGGACCGGGGGTGGTCACGCTGGTAAAGGGTTCAACCTATCAGCCCCCAAGGATTTGTTTCTTAACAAGCCACCCAGCTCAGGGGCGGGGTGGGGGGGTGTGGAGGGCGGCTCTGGGGTTCTCAAAGGAGCAGAAGAGAAATAATACACAGTGTGTGCCCCTGGGCTTCCCAGGTGCCTCAGCAGTAAAGAGGCTGCCTGCCAGTGCAGGAGACCTGGGTTCAACCTTTGGGTCAGGAATAGCCCCTGGAGGAGGAAATGGCAACCACTCCAGTATTCTTGCCTGAAAAATTCCATGGACAGAGGAGCCCGGTGGATTACAGTCCACAGGGTCGCAAAGAGTCAGACACGACTGAGTGAACACACAGCATAGAGCCCTGCCCGTGTACAACGCTCTGAAAATCAGATCCAGTAAATAGTTATGGTATTTGTAACTGGGTAACATGTCACTACACCCATGTTCCAGACGCAGCATGGAAGGAAGTAACTTGTCCGGGGACTCAGTCCCGGTAAGGGGCAGAAGTAAGACTCCAAGCCAGGTTTGCCTACTACCAAACTCACATCCTCCCAGTACACGACACTGTACTCACAAGGAGTGATCCCTCTCTTTACAAGTCCCACGCCTGGGAAGACTGCGCTGCCATGGAGAGTCTGGGACAGCAGTGAGAACAGGGACTCCAGGCCCCGCTCCCCCATTTACTAGCTGTGCAATTGCAGCCAGGTTCCCAGGCCTCTGCTCCAAAACTGCCTGAAAATGTAGAAATGACCATAAGAAGTGGAGGGCTTTTTATTAGCACAAGAGCCAGCTACGGTCAACTTCCCTGAGCTCATTAGCTGGAGTAAGAGGAGAAGACACACACGGTAGAGAGAGGTAGACGATGGGGGTCGAGAAGTCTCACCCTGGCCTTACATTCAACAGGAGCTCAGAGAAGGAAAAAAAGCCAGAATGTGAAGGGAGAAGGGCTTGGATGGGGTGATGTGGGTTTGGACAAAGAGTCTGGAGGAATCAGAGGAAATACCTCAGTACCTTGATGGAGAAGACCAATGCAGGAAGAGTGATAGAGGAGATAAAACACTGGACTTTCCATCCTTTTAAAATCTTGGGTGGAAGGTTGCAGGTTAGGAGGAGGGGGTGTGAGGTGAAGGCAGTGCAGCTTCAGGCTTAAATGCACAGTTCTGGAAATCAAACAAACAGATTTGAGTTCAACTCTCAGCTTTCCTGAGGCTGAGATTGTAAAGAATCCACCTGCAATGTGGGAGACCCAGGTTTGACCCCTGGTTTGGGAAGATCCCCTGGAGAAGGGAATGGCAACCCACTCCAGTACTCTCGGCTGGAGAATTCCATGGACAGAGGAGACTGAAGGGATACAGTCCATGGGGTTGCAAACAGTTACACTCAACTGAGTGACTAACACTTTTCTCAGCTTTACCAACCAGGGGACACTGCACAGGTTTATTTAATCTGTCTGAGCTTCCATTTCCTCCTCTGTAAAGTGGAGAAAATGACTGTAAAGAAAAGAATTTAAATCACATAGAGCTGGTGTCAGGATGAAATGAAGCTGTCTTCCCCTAAGGCTGAGTTGCTGTTACTGTCATTGCTGTGCTGTTGTGATTCAGGAAATTTATTTTTAAGACTAACCAGCATCCCCAGTGAAGGACAGGTGCAAGTCAGATGCTCTCCGTTCTAGATCTGGGTGGGGATTAAGTTCTAAAAAAGCACCAAGTAAAAGGGGGATTAAAAGCCGCAGGTCAAGGGAACCAAACCAACTGAAACTGGACGGCTGTTTGGGGAAGGAACAAATGGAAACAGAGAGCTAGAGAGAACACAGAAAAGGCTCACGGAGCATCAACTGTGCACCCAGTCTATGGCGGGGCCGATGACATTGGATCCACAACCTAACAGGAGCCCCCAGGGCCCCATGGGACCCAGGCCCTGGCCACACATCCCGCCCTCATGCACATCAGGTGCAAGGGCCCTCGTCCTGGTCCTTCTTTGAGGGCCTTGTCTTATATTTGCAGCTCACCCTGTCCACACCACTCACAGCTGCTTGATCTGCCTATCAGTCACCATCCCGAGCACTCCAGCTCCATTATTACCTCTCCAAAATCAAAGAAGAAAATCCTCCCCTGACCCTGTTCTAGGCCCCCCAAACACGTACGACTAGTGAGTCACCTGGCTTCCTTGTTCCCCACCTATCTTTCCCTTATTTAATGTGGTTCTGTGACAAGCAAGGTTTGTCTGAGGTGCCAGGATTGTGGGAGATGGGAATAGTATTTTAAGCGGCCACCAAGAAAACTAGGAAGCCAGGATAAAGAATATCTGAATGTAGCACTTTTAAAATATGAAAGTGAACACAAAACTACATTCAGAGTTTGTAAGTTTTCAAACCAAGATATGATCAGCAACAGAGCCCCATCAAGCCAGACAGGAGCCTGGAGCAAAAGGAAAAATAATCAGTGAAGCTGATTCAGACTTTAAACTTTTTGTATTTTTTTCCATCATGGATTAGTATTATTTTATTATTTGGCATCCATTTTGCTTTTTTTAAATACTGCATTAAGATGTCCTTCATCTCGAATGCTGAATTTTTAGAAGCCCCTTCAATCCTGCACCACCGGCTAACGCCTCACTTAGCTAGCCCTCACCCTAGCTCTGTCTGCCTTATTCATTCCCGTGCCCCCAGCAGCAGAGCAGCGCCTGGCCCATAGGAGGTACTCGAGGAAACAGGAAATGAAAGCCTGAATGATGCCCTAAGAAATAACGTGATTTTTGTTTTGTCCAATTCTAAAAGAAACCACTAAGCTCTGAGACTCAACACCCAGAAGTTGAATACAGTAACCACAAGTGCAAAGACAGCCTGGATCAAGGGAAAGCACTGGGTTATGGCCTAAACCAGCTCCTTGATGGGCTGGGTTTATCATTTCAGGTGGCTGTGGTGGGTGAACTGTACCCTCACAAAATTCTTAGGCTGTAGTTCCAGGCCTCCGCACTCAGCTTGTGACCGTATATGGAGAAAGGGTTTTTAAAGAGGTCATATGGATGGGTCCTGATCCAGTGTGACTGGTGCCTTTTTGAGAGGAGGACATTTGGACACACAGAAGAGGCATCAGGGAAAGGAAAGGATATGGGAAGAGGCAGCAAGAAGGTGGCCATCTGCAAGTCAAGGAGAGATGCCTCAGAGGAAACCAACCCTGCCAGGACCCTCATCTTGAACTTCCAGCCTCCAGAACCCTGAGAGAATAAGTTGCTATTATTTAAGTCACCCAGTCTGTGGTCTTAAAAGTTTACTACAGTAAACTTAATAATGACCCACTTCCAAACTAGTCCTAATCACTATGACCTTATGGAAGAATACAGAAAAATAAGGGCACTGGACAAAGTATTTCCAAGGGTCCCTTCCAACTCTCATCTTCCTTTAACTTGGGAAGTTGGAACCTTCTTTAAACAGACCTGGAAATCATAAACAGCATTTTGGAGAATCTGGAGATGGTGGTAGAGAATACACGTATTTAACAAATTGCATCATCTGATTAAATTTCCTTTAGATTAAACCCTCAACAATGGGATCAAAAAATAATAAACAAGGATTTTTATCAGTTACATATAACAAGTAAAATATATAAAGCACTTAATGTCTACTAAAAATAGAGTAACAACAGGAGCATTGGGTGAATGATTTATGAAATCTTCATGCATAAGTAGCCTTACTAAAAATTGAAATGGGATAGTAAAAATCTTTTAATTTACATGACAAAGTATTCAGAAATGTAAGAAGTAAGGAACAGATGTAAAACCACAGTACAAATACAGTTTGACTCCAAAATTATGTGTAGAAGTACATATTTTTCACTAAGTGTCCACAATGTTTTAGCCTTGGGTGATAATACTGGTGATTTTAATTCGTTTTACATATTTCTACAGTTGCCAAATTTTCTGCAGTGGGTATGCATGACTTTTCTTTGAAGTCCCCATGGAACTAAAATCCTGAATAACTCTAACATTCATGTTAAAAGCAGAATTCCTTACATTAAAAAGAAGAAGAAAAGACTGAGGCCTGATTGAAAGGACACTGCAAGAGACAGCAAACCTAGCGTTCTAAAGACAGTAATGTCTAGTTTTGTTTGGAGATCAGGAGAGAAAAATCAGCCTTATCATCCATTCCTCGATACCTTGGATTCCTGGGAAAGAGAAGGGGTGGGATGGCTGATATGCCCCTGCAAAGCAGACTGCTCTAGTGGCCTGGGGACTGGGGGAAGTACCAGCCAGGTGTGTTAGTCCCCTTGGCACCCAAGGCTTTCCACAAGCCTGTATAACCCCCGTGGGCCTGTGATTTCCAGTAAACTCACACCTGCTGGACACACCCACCACTGACTGCCCAGGAAGAAGAGAGGGGCTTCAGCAAAGGAGCGCGAAGGAGGCAGGGTCTTCTGTCTCCAACAGCCCCCAGCAGATGTCCCCTCTAACAAGTTCAGAATGCTTATCCAGGGGAAAGAGCAGCGCTGCGACATGAGAGGCTCCTCCCCAGGAGCTTGCCATCCTGCCCACCAACCCCCCAGAGTTTTGGGAAAAGCACTCACACTTCTTGTAGATTCGGCAAGTCCTCAAAACCAGCAGGATCAATCTCAGAAAGTTTGTTGTAACTCAGGTTTCTGGTAAAAGGAGAGCAAAAAACAAAGAAAAAATTTAGTCAATACTCCCAAATTCAGGAATCATCTACCCATTTCTCCCCAGGAGAAATAATCCCTCTTACTCATAACTGCCCCCATCTCATGTACTATTTTAAGTAACCCTGGTGGCTCAGACAGTAAAGAATCTGCCTGCAACGCAGGAGACCAGGGTTCAATCCCTGTGTCGGGAAAATCCCTGGAGAAGGAAATGGCAACCCACTGCAGTATTCTTGCCTGGAGAATTCCATGGACAGAGGGATTCTGTGACCACCATGCTGGTCCAAATGCCTGGCACCATATCAAATGGCATTTTTTAAAATTACTGTTTTACTAAGGCATCAAACACTATTAAGAAGAAGTAAAGGGGGTCTGATCCTTCATTGACTAAAAATCAGTGGTCCCCAACCATGGATGACATTTGGCAAAGTCTGTAGACATTTCTGGTTGTCACAACTGGAGGGGAGGGGAGGGGAGGATCCTACTAGCATCTGGTGGGGCGAGGACAAGGATGCTGCTAAACATCCTCCAAAGGACAGGACAGCCCTTAAGGATAGACCCAGCCTTCACTGTTAATAGTAACATTCAGAGGTTGAGAGACCTTGGTCTAAACAAAAACTTCAGGATCAAAACTCGCTGGGATGTATAGTTAAAGTTGAAAGGACTATTTAATAAGTGAGCAACGTAAGATCTTAATCATAAGGTTTATTTATATGAACATGGCATTCCTACTATCAGTGAATGAATATTTAATGTGATAATCATGCCGGAGAGAGGAGCAGTGTCATAGGAAATCACGCTGGTGTGAACCAAAGCCTCACATGCCAGTAGCCTTCTCAAGATGACAGTGTCTATCACATGACTCAGAAGTACATCTCTCTCCCCTTCAGCCCATCCTTGACCCCATTCTCAGAGGGAGACAAGGATCAAGCAGGACAATGTCTGATCCGCTGAGCTTCCCAGAGCACACCCTCAACCCAGACCAGCTTCATCTTTCAGGAACAGAATCCACACAGATGTGGTCCACACGGGCCCTCACTGTGCCTCACTCTCTTGCCACCAAAACACATCCAGTCCTGTGTGTGCCAAAGGAGCTGGCTAACATTTTTCATCTTGGCTATTAATTCCACTGCCATTACTGCCAATTAACAAGTACTACAAATCGAGAGTTCAAAGTCTCTTAAGGGGCCCAGTATCACATTAAGTGGCAACTTTCTTTTAAGCTTCCTCCAGAGACATTCCAATCAATACTAAGCCAGAGCCGAGAGCCATTTCACTGTCAACTCAAGACATTTATCTAAATAAAAGTCAAACCACCCTTGAAATTAATGGTACCTCTGTGTTCAGGGCACAGCCTGAATTAAAAGCAATTTGTCCAGGGATTATGTTACCATAAAAATTGAAGGTGGTAATTTTTAAACCACCTATTGAAGTCAAGTGTGAGCTTGTCTGTTCTTGGGAGTATTTACAATGAGATACTTACACAGAAATCAACAGGTTAGACTTGGAACAGAAAATCCACAAATGGAGAGAGTTCTCTCCCGTCACAGAAAGGACTGAATGGACTGAAAGTTTCTCCTACGATGAGCACATTATCATGACAAAGTGGGGCGGAAATCTTGTTTCTGGGTCTACAGGTAGTGTGAGTTGATCATGACTGCGGCATTCATACCATCACAGGTAACGGGGAGTTGCTAAGCTGGAGCAGGCTTGAGAGAAAGACTCAGAAACCACAAAGCCAAGAGCTGGAAGGGTAAACAAGTGATGCAGGGGTCACCTGGCAGGAGCAGAATGAGGCTGACCCAGCAGTGCCAACTCAACCTGCCTGCCACCTAAAGAGGTCATTTGTACCTGTTTCCCAAAAGAAGGGTGGTGCAGACCAGTCTCCTTCATTTTCAAGAGAAGCCTGATCTCTGAAATTTTATGTGAAGTTTTTTCAATTCTTTAAATGTATATGTGCAAATCTGGCGGTGTGTGTGGACGACATCTCTGCATACATAATCTACAGACCACACTTAACCAGAGGATCACCATTTTACAACCTCTGATCTAGTTTCAAAATGAATGACTTGCGGCCAGAGCAGGAGCTGGGGTTCACAGGATCTAGAGCCCAGGCTAGGCCTGGTGGCTCTGTTCTGAACAATCTGAAAGGCAATCACTTCCCTCAATCCTCGTGCCAGTTTTGTCCAGATCCTTTAGGAACTCAGGATTAGAATAAAGACATTTAAAATCACAACTCTCCTTGGTCTCTATTTTTTCCCTTAAAGAGCACATAAAATTTATTTACATTTCAAAAATGCTGTATCTAGTGTCATATTTAAAACACATGGTCAACAAGGACCTACTGTATAAGATAAGGAACTCTACCCAATACTCTGTAGTGACTTAACCAGTAAAAGAATCTAGAAAAGAACAGATACCTGTGTATGCATATGTGACATATGAATTACTCTGCTGCACGCCTGCAACTAACACAACGTTGTCAATCAACGATACTCCAATATAAAATAAAGTAAAACAAACCAAAACAAAAAAACCTTGTACAAATTCTGCTTTTTAGATAAGGCAACTTGATAAAGGGGGATTCCATAAGCTACTGTTATCAAGAAGCCAGACAGGATCAGTACTTAACACGGAGATTCCAGGGATGCAGCAACAAGTTCAAGAGACTTGTTAAGTGGAAATTTAAGTGTTCACTTGGTCTGCCTGGATGAAGTGATTTTTCGATTCTTGATCAACTAGAAAAGCCATGTATCACCAACCCAGACTGCCTCTAAGAGTAATTCTCCTCTCAGCGCCTGTCACCAGCAAAAGAGAACACAGTGGCTGAGGCCCAGGTCCCTTGGAATGGCTCTGCTTTGGGACAGAGCTTTTAAGTCTGAAAAAGAAATCCTGGTACAAAGCGGGGAATGAGGCCGACACAGCAGTGTCCACTCATCGGCCTGCCACCGAAAGGGGCCATTTGGACCTGGTTCCCAAAACGAGGGTGGGTGCAGACCAGTCTCCTTCACTTTCAAGAGAAGCTCGATCTCTGAATTTTTATGCAATTACCAACTGCTTTATCAAAAAACAGGGAAAACATTTACTTTCTTCTCCCTGACAAGCACAATCTGAAGTAAAATCCGCAGACATTTTTCTTGCTTGCTCGTCTCTGGGAGACACGCTCTCAGTATAGTTTCCTATTGTGGTAAAAGACACATAACATAGAGTGTACCATCTTGACCTGTCTGTGTGTACAGTTCGGGGCAATAAGCACATTCTCACTGTTGTACGAGCATCACTACCAGCCATCCCTCCCTAGCATGTCTACAGCTTTCCCAACTGAAACTCATCGCCCATTAAATACTAACTTCCCACCCTCCCCTCCCTCCAGGGCCTGCCCACCTTCACTCCACATGCTGTCTGTAGGACCTGGACTTGAGAGGCACTTCACCCAAGTGGGGCCACACCGTACCTTTTATGTCTGGCTTACTTCGCTGGTGCGTCCATACTGTAACATGTGTCGTGCTTTCCTGTTCCTTTTTGTGGCTGAATAGTATTCCATTATTCACCTCTGTGTGTGCGTGTGTATCTTCCCTATTTTGTTTCTCCCTATAAAAGCTGATGGATATTAGGGCTGGTTCCATCTTCTGGTTATTGTGAATCATGCTGCTGTGGACATGGTCATCCCCCACCCACGCCCCGGCATAACATAAAGATTTTTTTTTAACTCTTTGATTGCCACACTTTCTGACAACATTCATTTCTCCAAGATGAAACATATCCATATACTTTGGTCCAAGAACTGTGCAGAGAAGGGTCTGAATAACAATTTAAGAGTTAATTAGTGAAAAACTTTTACCTAAGAGACCTTTTTTTTTTTTCAGGTGGCAGCTGACAGGGACACAAATCTAAAGCATCTCACTTATTTCTGCAAACATGGTCAGCCTTACCAGGCCTGACATCTGAATGTGTTATTGGTTGAAGGTTTCAGATTCTCCTGTCAAAACAACCCATCTATCAGCAGGACAGACACTGTCAAAAGCACTTCTGCACCTTTCAGGAGCAAAGCAGAGAGGAAAGAAACCTTGGGGAATTTAGTTACTGCCAATTGCAGCTTTCATTAAACAGTTTGTCAGCCACTGTCATAACACAAATTTCCCTTGTTCTTGCACAAAGGGTGCACCACTCTTCCAACAACGGAGTCCAGCCGTAGATACTCTTTCTGCTAATCTGCTGAGAGATGACTGTCCGGCCCACCGTTTGCCCAACATGCAAGAGGCCCCTCCGCAGAGACCGGCTCAAGTTTTAGACAGGTTTTATCTGCAGCTGAAGAGCAAAGGGTTCAACAGTGCACGGCAATAATCTGCTTGCTGAGCCCTTTTCCTGGCAAGACCCCCTACCCAGACCTCACAGAATGAGAAGAGCTAAGTCTTCAAATAGCTGAGAAATCCCCCACTGTTCTGTAAACCCCTGCTCTCCAATCCAGCAGCACCCAGTGGAGTGACCCTGACAGTCATACTTAAACTAATCAAGACTACAGAAAATTAGGACTTCAGGGTCTCAGGGGCACCTGCCACCATACAAATGTCCAACCACGTGTGGCTAGCAGCTACTGTCCTGACTGCACAAGGCAGGGGCAGGCCATTTCCATCATCCCTGAAATTTCTATTGACTGAAATCAAGGAGTAATCAACAAATATTTAAAGTGAAATGCATGGAGGGAAGAAAGTTGGATTTGAAAAATAAATGTGATCACTGCAGCTTTGCAGTATAGTCTGAAGTTAGGGAGTGTTATTCCTCCAGCTTTAGTTTTCTTTTTCAAGACTGTTTTGGGTACTTAGGACTTTTGTGTTTTGATACAAATTTCAATTTTTTTTGGTTCTAATTCTGGGAAAAATGACAAAACAGAAATAGTTATAGATGTAGAAAAGAAACTTTTCGATGCCAGAGGGTAAAGCGGGGGTATAAATTGGGAGACTGGGATTGAAGTGCACACACTATTA